TTTGTGCACCGGGCCTCTATTATAGATATATGCATGAAGAGATGTTCAACATCAAGCTGGCTATACAAGAGCTGTGGTAGTATAAAGTTATATTTATCAGTATAACTTTCTGATAAATATTGGGCAAATCTTTTGACATCTCTAAGCCCTAGTTTTGTTATAAGGGAATGTGGGATAACAATATCTGCCCATATTGGATGTTCTACAAATTTCTTAGGCAAAATCCATGCTAAGGACTGAGCATTGGGGAGTGGTAAATGAAGTCAAACAGATAACTTGTTGGGGGTTGAGGTGGAGAATATGTTATTCCCAGCCTCAGTTTTCAACCTTTCTTTATGCTGAGCTTTTGTATCTGTAAAGTAAAGCCTTAAAAAAAATAGTTTAATAGTTTTCTTAGAGTCAGACTTCCTAAAAAGGAATCTGTTATCAATGTTTTTTCCCTCCAGGTCGGAAGAGTACTATCATAGAGAAACCTATCCCACCTCCAGAGCCTGTTGAACCTGTGCTCTGTGGCAGCATGGCCATAGGGGCCGTGTCACTAGCTGTCGCCAAGACCATTGCCGTGCTGGACAGTAACCCTCTGTACTTCCATATCGCGTCCCTGAAGCACCATCAGGTTAGTCTCCATCACATTCCGTCACCAGGAGCCTGGCATCTCAGTATGAAGGGACCATATTTCTCATTTCCTCTTGCTTTTCTCCCATTTCAGGAACAGCCAGCAAAGCTAACTATTCCTTTGCTAATGGTATCTCTGGTCAGCTGTGGGAAGTCGTCGCCTGGGAAGCTGAATTTAATGAAAGAAGTGATCTGTATACCCCATCCTGGATTAATGGCTAAACAAGTACCTTACATTATCTCAGGCTACTTTTTCTAAAAAAAGATATACTCTATCGTCAATGTGTTTTTAAGTGTAGGTCCCCAGACTTATGACTCCAAAGGAGAGGGAATTAAATGTAAAATGAAAAAAAAAAAACATGTTAACACATCAGGGAAAGGGGAAGAAAGCAAAACCTCCAACAAACGGGAACACGGTCAGACCACCTGGGATCTCTGGTTCATTACAGCGCTGACTCATGCTAGTGGCCCACAGGGGAGCCACTTGCTTGTAACCGTGCAGGCCTTCTCCTGGGAGAGCTGAGCTATCTGGTCCGTGCACTCCAGCAGCAGCAAGAGGGAGCTGGCACTTTCCTAGCATCCCATTCTGCTGAGTTAGAAACTCCAGGGCCCGAAGATGAGAGATGGCAGGTTGCCAGGCACATAAGAGAGGGTTAGTGCATGTTTATGGACTATGGAATGAAGGAACCCTAAGTTGCATTTTTACTACTTAGCGGTGTGCTAGTGTCTATATTGTTCTTCATGTCTTGGCTGAGTCAATATCCTTTTTTTAAAATTTTTATTTTGGTTAATACCCAAGGATTGAGTTATGTGCCCTTGACCGGAATCGAACCCAGGACCTTTTGGTCCTTGGGCTGATGTTCTGTCCACTGAGCCAAACCAGCTAGGGTAATAGCCTTCTTTAAATACTCATGAAGTATTCTACTAAGTAGGCATTGGGGAGAACTCAGTGTTCATGTTCTCTAGGGGATGTTTAGGGAGAAAGTACAGGAAGCTCCATCCCCTCTGCTAATACAGTGATACAGTGAAAAATCATTGTTTTTTAAACCCCAAGACGGTTTGTGGTAAAGAATTCTTTTTTAAAGAGAATAACCATTGCCTCCCAATTTGTCAGTTGGAGACTAGGCTTTATCTCTGGCTCACCATCTGTCAGATCAAATTCAGATCCTGGTGCCGGGATCTTTCCTGTAGTGAAGACTGGGTGTGCGGTGTGGGTACCCGAGCACTGGCCCACCATTCTTTATCTGCCTTCATAAATCAGATCCCACTGTCATCAGAATACGCTTTCCCACTTTTTAAATGACCGTGGGTTTACAGGAACTCAAACACGATCATGCAGAATCGCTTCATGACCTGTGACGTGTAGTGCAAGAAGGTCCCGTCAAGAGCCGTGAAATAGAATGAAGTGAACTTGATCCAGCCATCTGAACCAGCCAGCTCTGGACAACGAAGAGAGGATACTGAGGAGGAAGAGCCTCTCATTCATGTTTGATGGACGGGAACCTGAGGGCTGACTATTAGCATTTAATCTTCTGATGTCATAGACCTTGTCAGGGACCCTACACATATTCTGAGTTAGGAACAGCCGTGTGTGGTGAAAATTTTTATATTTAAAACTTCTAGACTGCCGTTGTGGAAGATCATGTTTATTCTGCTTACAGGGTGTGGAGATGCTCATGGAAATTCAGAAGCAAATAAGCAAGACAATTGAAACGGTAAGTAATCTATGGCATCTGGTTACTGACGCTCATATAACTTCTAGTGCCCAAATTATAGTTGGTTATGGAATTAAGTCAATAGTGTTATTGATATGGAAAATGTGTTCGTTTGCTTTGGGTTTCCCAAGCTTCTAAGCTGTGGATCCAGCTTATAATGGTACGTAATCTCATTTTGATTTCTGAGGCAGCTGGCTCTATGCTAAGATCATCCTTACCATTCATAGGGAAAGAAAGGACCCCCTAGGATGTGAGAGGCAGTTTGGAGTAACAGTTAAGGCACAGGCTCTTGTGTCTGCTTAGAGTTCCAGTGTTGGGCAACAGGTGCCCTTGGCCAAGCAGCCCTCGAGGGGGGCCACAGAGGCAGGATGGCAGGCAGCTGTGAGTTGCCAGCTGTGCCATCGTTGACGGGCAGGGCTGAGGCCAGGAGAGGGATCTGATCCTTGTCTATAAATCTGCAGACATGGTACAGAGTTCCCAAACACCCCTCCACCTGGTTTCCTCCAATGTTACAGGACATAATGTAACAGGACAGAATACCATGGTATGCTTGTCAAAATTAAGAAACCAAAATGGCACATTGCTATGAACTAAACTCCAGACTTTATTCAAATTTCACTGGTTTTTCCACTAATGTCCCTTTCCCATTCCAGGATCCAATCCAGGATCCCCCATTCATTTACATGAGGCTTTTGGAAGCCCTAGCCCTTCAGCCCCTGTAGGATAGGGGCTGAGACACGAAACTTTGGCTCCAATGCTATCTTGCCGGCACAGAGTCCATGCAGGTGGGGGCACCTCCCTCCCCTGTAGTGATGGGGTCAGGGAGGAAGCCATACAGTTGATCAGAATTGCTTTAAGCACCAGCTTGGAGCCAGGTCTGTGACACTATTCAGAATGCAAACCTCTTTATGGGTGACCCCCCTGCTGTTTGGAAAAGTTAACCCTGACCTTGCACTCTGCTTTGCCCCTCCTTAGCTGTGTGACGATGACTACCCATCTCATGGGGAGAGTGTGAGGAGTAAATGAGTTCAATACAAGCAACGTGCTCAGAGTAGGAGCTGGCATAACAGTGAGCAATACGTACTGGTGGTTGTCATCAGAGGAGGTGGAGGAAATCCGGCCCCGAGGATGAGGACGTTCAGGTTATCTGAGCTTTCTGCATTCAGCTCGACTTTCAAACATCTTATTACCTTTTGATTATATAAGTAGCTCATGAACGTGCTTATGAAAATTCAAATACTGGTAGAACTTGTCACCCCTGCCACCAGCTCTGCACCGTGCCCATGCCTGCCCTGTTCACCACTGTGTCTCTCCTGCCTGGCACGTGGCCCCTCTCCTGTTATTTTTACCAGGGGAGAGAAAGGTCAGCTGACTCCATAGTGCACAGAGCAGGTTCACTGTATTTGCATGTACTCAAGTGTACAAATCATGCTGATTTTTGACAAGACCCCGTTTATAGCCAGTAAATGCTGGACATGAAAGTGCAGCCTTATCCCCAAATTGTGGGAACGTCTCTTTGGAAATATCTTTGCTGTTCATATCAACTGACTCTAACACACATTAGAGTCAGCAGATTTAATGACCCTTGGCTGTTTCCAAAAGTCACCTCCCGCCCCCTTGTAGGAGAAAGTTGTTCATACCCTGATAATATTTGAAACAACATGTTGGGCTTGTGAAAGCAAATCCTACAGTGGTCTTATTCCTTATGTGCAAGGAGGGGGCTCTGTATGCATAATACTTTATTTATATGAGTAGAAGTGCATGAACAAGTATCTACATGCCCCATAGATATGATTGGAGGCAGGAGGTAAGGATGAACTAGTGGGAACATGTGCCTGATTTTGAGAAATAGTTTAGGGTTTATAAAAGTAGGGAGTGGCTGGCATGATTTGAGAGAGAGTGTGTGTGAGAGAGAGAGAGAGAGAGAGAGAGAGAGAGATTGATTCACAGTGTGACGAGCTGGGCTTCTCTGGGACCTGAGCTTTGCTTGCTGCCCACAGATAAGTGATACCTCGTTATCTTCTGTCCCACAGCCCCCTCCTCCAAAAGCAGAGATGAAGAAAGGGCATAATGGAGGCAAAAGAGGTCAGGTCAGTATCTGCCTTTGTTTACCACCCTTGTATGTGACTCAGTTCATCTACGTATTCCCTGCCCCTTGGTCTCTCTCACAGTCACTTTACTCCAAGACCGGGGCTAATGCAAGGGGGAGTCTGCACCAAACCAGGAGCACTGAACCAGGCAACCGACAGCTGGAATATGGCTCAGCCCTCGCCTTTCTGCCAGCAGGCGTCTGGCCAACCAACAGCTCCGAGGAGCATTCTGAATAATAGGGTTACATTTGAAACCCGAGGCAAAGTGTTGGGGAAGTTGAATCTCTCTGGTAACTAAATGAAACGCATATCAGGTGCTTTAGATTTTAATCGTACTACTACCTAGGAGAGAAAGGCACAGAAAGATAGCCACTCCTTACACCTGGTCCCCAAAGACACTGAGGCACCATTTCCAATGACACATTGCCAGATCTCAGATTTTGCCAGGAGAGTTAGGCACACGGTTCTTGGGAAAGTTTGCCATGTGGCTGCAAGAGCCTTGGGAGACACGCCGAACTTGTTCAGTTGGTCCCTTTGGTATTGTGGGTGCTCTGAACACAAGAATTTCCCCAACTCTTCCTTTGTCGAATAGAAGGTTCCTCTCACTAACATTAGAAATGTTGGATGTACTGAAGGGTCCCAGGTTTGATTCCAGTCAAGGGCACGTATCTTGGTTGCTGGCTCAATCCCTGATCCTGGCCCTAGTTGGGGCACATGCAGGCGGCAGCCAATCGATGTGTCTCTCTCACATCTCTGTCTCTCCCCTCCCTTTCACTCTCTCTAAACATCCATGGGGAAAATATCCTCGAGTGAAGATTACAACTACAGTAAAAATGTTGGCTGGTTCTTAGAATTAACTAGGGCTACTGCCAGTAACAAGGGGATATTTAGAGCTAGTTTCACATTAGCTCTTGAGTGTGGTTCACACACACTCACACACATACCCTTAAGCCCTCAGGAGGACTGATATCGCTTCAACTTATGTGATGATCGCATGGTGCATGGTGCACGGTTTATGGCCCAGGCACGTCAAGGCTGGCCTCCCGGGAGAGGCGTGTGGCTGCCTTGCCCTGGGGCCCTTTGACTCCTCAGATCTTCTCCCACTGAAATCTACCCTCAGCTGCACCCTCTGAGCTGAAGTCTTCAGTCCTTCTTAAAATGAAAGCTCTCCTGAAGGAGGGCCGCAGTGCTAAGTGTTAGCAGTTATATTCTCCTAAAGGAAAAGGGAGCACGGGAAAGAGCAGGGTTGGGGGAAGAGGGCAGAGGGAGGGACAGCCTGGAGAGTCACCAACCTGCTGGTGCGGCTCAGGTGAGCCCACGAGCCAGGGCAGGCCAGTAAAGGGATAACACACACGCCCAGAAGACAGGAAAATTGTTCTCCGGGCCCCGCTCGAAACCCTCGGCAAGGAAAGGAAGAAAATTACTCCCAGACACCGCAGGGCAAACCTGTGCCCCGCGGTCACCCAGAGGTGAGTGGGACCGAGACAGAGGATTAATCCAGAATCAGAGGAGCCCCCCTCTGGAGAGTTGTTTCTAAAACGCGCCCAACACGGGAGCCTCCCAGAACAGTGACGTGCTGTGTTTACACTCGTCATTTTCCTTTGGCCTTGCAGCAGCCGGTCACTGGCAAGATGTCCCATCTGGGCTGCTTGACCATCAATTACGACACCATAGAGCAGCCCCTGCTCACCATACAAGGAGTCTGTGCGAACCTGGGGCTAGAACTGGGGACGAATCTGTATCTGGCCATCAACTGTGCTGCGCATGAGCTGGTGGACTATGTAAGTTTCTTCTGCAGAACATTTGCTTTTTGTTGACGTCACATTATTTTTAAGTTAGAACTGAAAGGAAGAGCTGATCTGTATATTTTTCAAATAGATATCTTTTTGTTGTTGTTAATTTAAGGGGGTGGGGGCAGGTCCAAATATAAATGGAGTTAGCTAATGACCAGAGAATACATGATTTTTAAAAAGAAACAGAAAACATCCTAAGTATATATAGACATTCTGTCATAAAAGTGACTAGAATGGGTTGCTTACATTGCAATCATGAGAGCTATTGAAACATAATTTTACAGACTGGGATGTTTTGCTGAGTACAGTCACTTGGTTGGTAAATGCTGAATTTGTCAAGCGTGAAAAGTAGACCCGCTGTAAGTGTGACTTGATAAACCCTTCTAGACAGACACATGGCTCTCGGAGTTTGTGCTGTGACTCACCTTTTAAATATAAAAATATTTCCAAGTTATTGAAGTTTATGGGTACATTTAGAGAATATACCCAATTAAGCCCATCACAGTGTTATCCACAATCTGGGGGAGGGCAGAGCGTTAGAATGGAAAACAGGTTTTATTTAAGAATGTTGTAGCCCTTACTTCCTTGGAGGACTTTATCAGCAATTAACCTTTAAATGTGGAAAGTAGTTACGTTAGGAAAGCTGTTACAGGTTGTCTGCTTCATACACATACTTCCCATTTCCAAATTCATAAATGCTGAGTCCAGGTTTTATGAAGTGCCCAGCATGTTCATATGCATTTATGGTGACTTGGTAGTTAATGTCAAATTCAGGGGATATGACCAAATAGAATTTCACTTTGATTTAGTATTCTAACTTTCAATTTCAAAGGAGAATCTGAACAGTATATAGAAACCCTAAGTTTCAGCTGATTTCTAAAAGTTCTTTAACTTTTCTAAAGAAACTAAGCACATAAAGGAATGGTTAATGTAATTTCCTGTTCTTCACATAATGATTGGTTCCTAGGCATACCATTAAGAAAAATAATTGCATGTTTTCATCAGCAACGAATACCAAGAACTATGAATATACTGACTCCTAGTGCTAACTTGAATGGGTATTTATTGCTCAGATTGCGTAAAATATATTAGCTTGACATCACATAATTCTTACCATAATGTTAGTTCAAAGTCTAGCATTTCCTTACTGACAAGATAGGAGTTTAAAACGTTCAAGTATAGAAACTAAAAGTTCTTGCCCTTAGCCAGTTTGGCTCAGTGGATAGAGTGTCAGCCCTTGAACTGAAGGGTCCCAGGTTCGATTCCAGTCAAGGGCATGTTCCTTGGTTGGGGCGCGTGCGGGAAGCAACCAATCGATGTGTCTCTCTTAAGTCAATGTTTCTCTCTGTGTGTCTCTCCCCCTCCCTTCCACTCTCTAAAATCAATGGGAAAATATCCTCAGATTAGGATTAACAACAACAAATAAACTAAAAGTCCTTGATGCTATTCAGTGTGAAAAAAGTTATGAAGTTCTTTGCATTATGGATTTCTTAAGAACCTGCTTCATTCCAATGGAATCCAGTCCATTAGCAGCGGCAGTAGCAAGTCACTAGCAAACCAAACAGCCATTCTGTTCCCTTCCAGCTCCCTCAGTGTCCCAGGTGCCACCCCTGAACACAGACTTGGAGGAAAGGTGCTGTTTTACAGAGAGCCTACAGATCCCGCAGCCCTGCTAACTTCTGTACCTAATGACTTGGGGGCTCACCAGACTTCAAATGAATGGGGCTGCACTAGAATTACACTTTCAGGACAGAACTGGTACTACTAGAACCTGCATGCTGAGAAAGGAGTGCCTTCACATAATCACTCTATCTTTCAAAAGCCTAGCCCTGCTTTCAAATTCTAGAATATTCCCAGCAGAAGAAATCTGCTTGTTCAGTGTGAGTTGGAAGATGGTGGGTTCTGGCGAGTGGGCAGGTTTGCGTGGTGCTATGGTTTGTTTTATGAACTTAGGTTGTTGCCCATCTACCTAAGCACCACATCATAAACTTTAGTTTTTTGTGCAGAAGGCTTCATCCGAAGTCACTGGGTGATGCATCAAAGGGGATGGTGACTTGCTTTCCCCAGGTTAATATGGAACAGACATTAAGAGTAAAATGGGTACATTTCTTATGTGAATATGGCCTGAAAAGAATCTGTTTGCAATCTTTTCTGTGAAATGAATGAAAATGTGTTTGAGCCCCATTTTTAACATTTGAGGAATTCAGTGTTTACCCTCTAATATCTTCCTTACACTCGCCAGAGTAAGGGGAAGTATGAAGTGATGATGGGAACATACAAAAACACCACTGAGATGGTTGACCTGTATGTGGATCTGATCAGCAAGTTCCCTTCAATTATCGCCTTAATTGATCCTTTCAGGAAAGAGGTAAAAGGATTCGCCTTGAGTTTTATAATAAAATCTCATTCTTTTGGATCTGTCCTTTGAAATGTGTTGTAATTTGGGCTGGGAATCAGTTGCTTTCTTCCGGCATCTATGGGAAGAGGCACTTACTAAGCAAATGAATCGCAGAAACACAATGACCTAGGAGTGTGCCTGTCCACGGAATGAGGCGAGCTATCCCCAGGCACTTCAGGAGTAGCCGTATTTTTACAAGCAACTTAACTGAGGGCCACTGAGCCCACTGTGCTAGCGGGAGCCTCAGTAGGTTAATCATAGATCATTTTCAAGTGCTCATGGAAACAGGACTTCCACTGGGCCAACTGTTTTTAACCTAAATCCAGTTACTGCATATGCAGGAGAGTAACAAAGCCATATTTTTTTTTTAAAAGGTTTGACTTGTTTTAATCTATTCAAGCTACTGCCTCTAACAAGGGTTGTTTATGTGCCACAGAAGACCACCTCTCTCCCTTAAAGAGCAAAACTGAAATTCTCGATTTATGAATGTGAGAACCATTAGATGAACTGAACAGACACCCTCTCTGAGATAACGCAGGGTTTCACATCTGGGGCAGGAAGAGTGTCAGGTCTGGTTGGGAGCCCCAGGCTCTCTCAGTCCTGTCTTCCCTTTCACAGCCTTAGCTCCACCCAGGTGCTTGCAGGAGACACAGACTGAGCTCTGGCTTTCATCTTGTCTGTTTACCAGAAATAACAGTAGAACCTTCTAACCAGCCAATCTTTAGCAGCATTACGGGTAATACAGTGGGCGAGGAAAGCCTGGGTTTGAAGAGCTTCAGAATCAACGTGGAGAATAGCAACTAATGTGTATAAACATTTTATTCATTAGATCTTCACGCTCAAATGTAATCATTTTAAGTTTCTGCTCCGAGGAGCTCGTTAATCTGCGTGGCTGTGGTGTAGGCACCCTTCAGCTGCAGGTGCGAAAAGAAAACCATTGTGTGTTATCTCAGAAAGGCGTACAACTGTATGTGCTATATGATTCCTGTTGTTCTGTGGTGGTGTTCAATACCTTATAACGATCATTTCTTAAATATTCACCCAGGACTCTGAACAGTGGGACAGCCTCTATAATGCTCTTGGTTCCAGGTGTTACCTCATTGCGGGAAGTGCCTCCAAAAGCATTGCCACACTTCTAGAGGAAGGCGACATCAGCACCCCCAGATCCAGTGGGCGGATCATAAAGCACACCAATCAGACGACGCTGTCCGACTTGGTGGAAATAAGCAACCTCATGGACAGTGAGTAACAAAGCCGAGGTCCCAAAGACTCAGCACGAACTCGGTTATACAAGAAGCCGAAAACAGGCCGTACGGTGGCTAAGAAGAAGCATGGGCTAACCCTGGGAGGGAAAAAACAAACCCCGTCGCCTGTGAGAGATCGGTGCTGGAAAATAAAAGCGGCGTCTTCACTCCCCGGTGCCCCCGTCAGCCCCAGCCCCGGAGGGCATCTCCTTTAGAGAGGGCCACCACGAAGGGTGGCCAGGCCACTGCCCTGTCGGCTGCACATGACAGGACAGGGATCCCACTTGCCCACACTGGCTTTTTTTTTTTATTTTTTTATTCCTCAAGTTTCACTTTCTTACCACCTTGAGGTCTTTCAACATGCTGCCCCCTCGGCCTAGAATGCTTTGCCCTGTCCTGTTACTTGGCTCCCCACTCCTGACCCTTCAGGTCTTCTTGCCTTAAGTGAACCCTCCTCTTGGCATATACAGGGTGGGGCAGAAGGAGGTTTACAGTTGTGAGTACACGAAGCAGAGTTTATTCGTGGATTATTACTTATTACTATGTTATTGGCCGTACAAATAACTGTAAACCTATTTTTGTCCCACCCTGACCCCACTCTGCCTTCCCTGGCTCCCTCCACCCCTTGCAGCAAACCTTTCTCATAGCAGCTTTGTATTTACTTCCCCTTTGTAGTCCTGGCCACAATTACTCGTACAATTATTTAGTGCCGGGTATCTCCCACTTGACTGTAGACTTCCACGAGTTCATGGGAGTCTTGTTCACTTACGCACAGTCCCTGAAACATAAATATCAGGAAAGAGGCAGGAGGCTCGTCTCAGACCTGGAGCAGGACTCAAAATGGGTCTAGCATCCAGGGGCCTGGGCGGGTGCCGGAGAAAGGAATGAGATGCCTATAGACCCCAGGCCTGAGGCTGCCCTGGTCCAGGGCCCAAACTCGACAGTCAGACCATCACTCACTTCAGACTGCCGCTGTAGCTCCCGCCTCTGAACACGCAAACACTGTTCCTGTAGGGAGAACTTTGGCTCACACTCCCTGTAGACTTGGGTAAATTCCAAGGGGTTTTGAGATCCTGAAATGATTCAATACTATCCACGCTGCTCTTCTGATAAGTCAACATTCAGAATGACAGGACCCTTTGAATAAAATTCTACACAGTAAGCTATAAAATACATTAGACCAGTGGTTCTCAACCTTCTGGCCCTTTAAGTACAGTTCCTCATGGTGTGACCCAACCATAAAATCATTTTCGTTGCTACTTCATAACTGTAATGTTGCTACTGTTATGAATCGTCATGTAAATATCTGAAACACTGTCCCTGTGAAAGGGTCGTTCGACCACCAAAGGGGTCGCGACCCAGAGGTTGAGAACCGCTGCATTAGGTCCATCAACTCCCCATGCGATGCCTGGCATTTAAATGTCCTGACTCAAAGATGCACTTTTCCTCATTGAACAAGCACGAAATTGAATCATGGCATACAGCTTTGGTCTTAGAAATGCTATCGATCTAATTTGAGCATTTCCCCCCTTTAGGGGTAATAATGGTGACTTTTACTTACAATTTATCATACCCTAAATTCATTTAATATTTAGCATCCAAGCTACTGGGAAGGGGTGAACAGATAAAACCAGGTATTGTGGGGGAAGAGGAAGCAAATATTTGGGTAAGAATTCTTAGGTGGTCAAACAATTGAATTGTCACGGGAAACATGTAAATCTCTGGGCATTTTTACATGTTGCTCTCAGAGGCTCATGCATTTGCAAACTGTTTCTGTACCGTGGGAAGCTGAAAAGAACTCCTCTGCCTGCAGGTAAGAAGCACCTGGCTGTCTTTGGAAGCGCGGAAGGGGAGTCTGCAGATGACAGCCTCGTGGACCTGGTAAGTGCTGCAGGCTGGTCAACTGCAGAACTGCCAAACACCGCTTTTATCGGGAACTGGTATTTCAGAGAAATACAGGCTTTGGCGGAGAAAGTCCTGTAACCTTTTACAAAATAGACTCGCCTCCTCCCTTTTGCTAAGAGCTAAACTTTGACCTTTTAAAAAGAAGAGAAATGGAAGTCCTGGGGGAAAGGATGAGCACGCTTAAATGACTGGGGTGTGCACCTGCCGTCTCACCTCCTAGAATGAAGTGAGGAAGGCCCGCACGCTCTCAGGCAGTCAGCGTGCCTACACCAGGGAGGTGTGTGATGCAGTGACACTCTGTCTGACACCCTCAGCTTTAAGCAGGCCCCCTTACCCATGTAAGACAAAAAAATGAAGTGATGAGAGAAACACGCAAACAGCACACAGGGGCAGTGGCCTTTTAGAAAAAGGTGACTTCTCCATTTCAAAAAAGTTGTTTTTTGTCCTAGCTGGTTTGGCTCAGGAGGTAGAGCGTCAGCCTGCGGACTAAAGGGTCCCGGGTTTGATTCCTGTCAAAAGCACATGCCTAGGTTGGCGGCTCAAGAGTGTGCAGGAGGCAGCCGTTCAATGGTTCTCTCTCATCACTGTTTCTCTCTCTCTCCCCCTCTCCCTTCCTCTCTGAAAAAGATAATAAATAAAAAATAAATAAATATAAATAAGTAAAATAAGTTGTCTTTTCCCTGCTGAAGGCCATTGGACTGGGTGTCCAGTTTATCAAGTTGGGAGGTCTTTCTCGTGGCGAACGAGTGACCAAGTACAACCGCATTTTCACTATAGAGGAAGAACTTGTCCGGAACGGAACACTGGGTATGTGCTGCTTTCCTGCTTTGTTTTCACTTGGCCGTGAACAAGAGAACAAAGACGGGAAGAGGGGGAATAGAAGTCCCCCAGCAGGAGGGCAGGGGACTCCAAAGACTAGAAATCAGAGCTGACAAACCAGGGTGGCATGTGCCACAATGTGCATTGTTTCCTTCATGGATTATCTGTTTACCTGAATGTTTAACACTCTCGCCAGCTGTTCGTCTTGATAAATAGGCTGCGTGATGCTTTTCAATAGAATTGATTGATTGGAATCTCCAAGCCTACCTTTTGTTGTGGTACAAATCAAGCTGAGGTTGCTCTGCACAACCCAGGAGAATTAAAGGCAGGTTTTTCCTGATGGCTTTTGGAAACCACTCATTTTACTGAAGACAAGCAGGCAGCGTGTTCATGTTAATGTTGTGCTTTGGGAAGGCTGTCGTCTCAAGAGAAAGGAACCAATCACTCATGACATGAAACCTTGGTAAATTTGCATGGGTCCAATCACCTTGTATACTGGTTTAACTGGAGAGAAACACCCCAAATATGCAGTTTTACTTTTTATATTATTGATGGTGATGGCCAGAAGTACATTTGTAGCACACAGAGACATTAAAACAGCGGTTCTCAACCTGTGGGTCGTGACCCCTTTGGCGGTTGAACGACCCTTTCACAGGGGTCACCTAAGACCATCCTGCATATCAGATATTTACATGATGATTCATAACAGTAGCAACATTACGGTTATGAAGTAGCAACGAAAATAATTTTATGGTTGGGGTCACAACATGAGGAATTGTATTTAAAGCGCCAGAAGGTTGAGAACCACTGCATTAAAAGAAACCAATAGTTATTGTGGAATTCTAAAGCTACTTTGTATTTTAAGATAGAATAAATGAATTGGTATACTGAAAACAGTAGATGTTATTTACATAGTGCTGACAATTAAAACATGACCCTTTCTTGGAGGCTGTAAATGAAGTCTATTAAAGGAGGTAGACACATTGTAGACTGTATTGGGGAGCACACCCATGGAAGCAAAAAAGCAGTCCTACTTTATGACTCAATACATACATCAAAGAGGAAAAAATAGAGACACCAATAGAACTTGTGATTATAAATTTGTCATGTTTACCATCACAATCCTGAAACACACCCTAAGATTCACAGAAAAGGAAGATATAATCGAGAGGCCATTTCTGAGTCACGTACAGGCAGTCAATTACTTGGTGTTGTTTGGTGTGTGACACAGGCTTGTTGTTTCAAACAGGTAACAGTATAGTCTTCCTACACACGCCCGATTATTTTTTATGTTACACTGACTCATGGAAGCCTTAGGTTCTTACACGACCTATCACATCTCCAGCCAGACCTCCTACCACGAGGGAAACAGCCGCTTCAGGGCATCCAAAAGGACCCTTGTGACCGGGGACCAGCCCTCCCTGGTGGCAGCGCAGGCCCCTGGATGCACAGATGAATGAGAATGCTCAGACACTGGCGGTGCGCCATAAACATTAGCAAACCGAGCGCCGGGAAAACAGCTAAGGAAACACTGTCCCTGCCCGCGGGGACCAGACCAGAACATCTCAGTCTGCACTCGTTTACCGTGGGGTAGTCAGTGGCAATGGTTTGTGCTCCTGTACAGGACGGGCCTTCCCTCTAATTTACCTTCTTCCTCAGAGCCTTTCCTGCTAAGCCACTGCCCAAGTCCACTGCATGTGGAATGTCCCAGAAGGCTGTGTAAGGGTGCAGTGCACACTGGGAAGAACAAGTGTCCCGCAGTTAATGTGTAACCAAAACAGGCCCGTTGGAATGGTTCTGGAACCCTCTCTGATGGTGGTGGGACACCTCTGAGGATGATCTTTAAATCTAACAGCATCAGCCTCAGCACCGCTGGATCGGACAGTGAACATTGTTGTCTCTGCTTTCTAATAGGTTTTAAAGGAGAACTCACCTTTGTCCAGCTGAGCGAGGAAGACGAAAAGGCTGATGAGGAGCCGGAGGCCGTGGCTGCCGAGGCCGGTGAGCTGCCGGGGCGCCCGGAGCCCATCTTCCCCACAGAAGTCATAGAGGAAGCGGCCTGAGCTCAAGCGCTTCCGGACCGGGCTGTCCACACCCACGTCCAGCCACATCCCTGTTTTCAGGCCGCAGGTCTGAAGTCTGTCTTCTTCATCTTGGTTTTGCTCTAAAACTTCACTAACTTTGTGCTTCTCCTCCTTTACCATTTGGTGAAATACACATATAGCCTTTCTGCCCGCGTGCGGTCCGTGTCTCACAGCCATCACACTTCCAGGGAGGTTCTGTTTACGTACCTGCGCTCCTGTCCATCGGGGAGGGAAGGGGATGACCTCGTCAAAGTATCCGGGACTTGTGTTGCCAGCTCCGGACTCAGTTCAAACACCTCACACTTTACAAATGAAAACATCTCTGAGAAGCAAATCTTTTCCACCAGGAGCTCTCTGTGCCGGGAACATGTGTGCATCTGCGTTTACATTACACATCTGTGCTAGGAAGCACAGACACGGTTTTGTAGCCAACCTCACGCGGAAGCAGGAGAGTTCACCGTCCTGTGTAACAGCCAAGCAGTTGCCTTTGCCCCAATTCCCTCTTCTTACTAAATGTTAGTTTTTCTTGTATTATGTATATCCTCGGGAGTCTCCTTCAATCCTTCTCGGAACAGGAATGAGTGTAAGTGAATAAACACATGCACGGGTGGATAACTATCCTTAAGGGAACTAAATGCTCACTTATTGACATGACAGCACCTGACAGGTGACTGAAGACGGTGCCGGTGTACGGTGACTGCCCCACCCGCTGTGAGCCAGCAGAGAAGGAACAGAAATGAACTCTCTCCATCACGTACCTACGGATACCACCTGCTTTGTATGGTTTAGATTCTCTGTTAAAAGTTATCATTTGCTTTACCCCAAAATTATATAAATTGCTATGTACTGACGTATGGGAGAGTTGGCTAAACTTAAATTTCTGGCATATTCTGTACGTTTTCACTAAACACACGGAGGACCTCTCCTCTTGAAGAGGACTAACAGGGAAAAGTCATGGTCTGATGCCCAGGCCTTTCCCTCTAAGCCAGTGGTTCTCAACCTTCTGGCCCTTTAAATACAGTTCCTCATGTTGTGACCCAACCATAAAATTATTTTCGTTGCTACTTCATAACTGTAATGTTGCTACTGTTATGAATCGTAATGTAAATATCTGATATGCAGGATGGTCTTACGCGACCCCTGTGAAAGGGTCGTTCGACCACCAAAGGCGTCGCGACCCACAGGTTGAGAACCACTGCTAAGCAATGACTCAAGGTCGGTTCCAGGACCGAGTCTCCCAGAGCCCGGGCAGGAGGACTGGGGCCTCAGTCCATGCCGGGAGAA